TAGCTACCACCAGTACTGTTACTGCTCCTACTACCACGTTCGCAACTACCATGCTCTCGCATCACCTTCATCATCATCAGCAGCAGCATCAGCGGCATCATCAGCACCACCAGCATCAGCATCACTATCATCATTATCATCATCATCGTCATCATCGTCATCATTATCAGCATTTGCATCATCATCATCATCATCATCATCATCATCATCATCATCATCATCATCATCATCATCACCATCACCATCATCATTACCACCCAACACCTGCCAATGTTTTGGTGTAGCGAGTCAGTCAAAGCAGAGTCACAGCTTGATATCAGAGGGTCAAACAGGTTTCCAGCTTCAGGTTTTTGTTTTTGGGTGTTTTGGGTTTGGGTCCAAAGCAAAGCAAGGGTTCCTGTTTCGGGATTTGGTTGTGGGTTGCGGATAGTACCAACAGTTCTCCCAAAACAGTTTTTTTGGTGTACCCCGGCGTAGGGCCCGGTGTTGGTGTTTGTGACTTGTGTTGGTTGCTTCAAACGGAAACCAAGATGAATACCCCAATTCACAGCTGTTTTGAGTCAGGTGGGTGGCTACGTCATCCACCACACCAAGGACGGCAAATGGCGATACACTGTGGTGGATGACTACCTCATTGTGCGGGGAGTGGGGCCCATGTTCGCCCGCAACCGCAAGAACCCGGCGGCGCCTGGGCTTGGCATTCGCGAGTCGATTTCGGCGTGTGCGTGTCTGTGCATGTGCGCTTTTTTGGGAAACCCACAAAAGGCCTTTAAACATGGGTTGTTGCCCCCAAATACTGGGGTGAGGTCCCTTTGTTCTGTGTAGTTTGAGGGTCCCGGTGCCCTTGTAAAGGTTGGTTTGCAGGGAAACCAAAAGGAACACCATTTTACACGCACACACTGCCGAGAGCAAGCTTGTGTCCTTGCTAGGTCAGGAAAAAAAAGGGCCGACAGTCGATTTGGTTTCCTGCAATTGCCCCTGTACCACGGGCCAATCTAGGTGTGTAGGGATGTGGACCGCCAAAATGGTGGTGTTCCTTTTGTTGTTTTCTGAACCAACCTGAAAAAGGTACCCTCAAACAGCACACACGCACACACACACACACTTCAGCTAGGCAGGTTAGATTGGATGTGTTTGATTGGACATGCTATAGTGGATTCCTTTTCAGGAAGTTGGCCAGTGTTGTGTTGATTGCTTCCTTGCAGACTGGATCCCTGGGAGTTAAATCTCCATTAAAGCAATGGGTGTTAACATAAACATACCTTAGCTAAGGAGCTTCTTCATCTGAATTCGGTCAACCCTTGATTTGATTAGTCGAAAACGTTTAAACCATCAAGTTCATGGGTTCTCTGATTTGAGAGCCACCCGCATTTTTGAGGAGTAATCCCAATTTGGCGGCAGTTTGAAGCGGAATACCTCGCCAGGAGCTGTGGGTGTCTGTGCTGGAGAAAGCCTGGGCCAAGGTGCACGGCGGCTACAAGGTCTTGCAGGTGGGGTTTTCAAGAGCCCCCGAACCCAATTCGGGCGTGCGTTTGTGCGGTGTGTTTGTGGGGGATCCTTTGGTGTTTGCTCAAAGGGAAAAGGGCACCGACGATTTTGGAGGTCGCCCATTTGAACACAAATCGTTCATCGTGGCCGTTGCAACTCCCAGGTTTGGTTGGGGTGATAATAGTTCAAGGCTATATACATATTGCGGGTGTGTTCTTTTGTGTGGGCCGTTCTTTTTCTTCCGGTATTTCAAATGGAGAAAACACATATTGCCACATTTTGGGGGGTCCACCCAATTTGACATTGCAAACTGATATATATATATATATATTATAAACCATTGTAAGAAGGATTTCGATTTCGGGACCGGCCTTAGGATTCAAGCGTTCTCATGTGAGCAGCCCAAAACTGCTCTCGGCCATTCACCTAATGAGGTCTCTGGCAAGGTCCACATCTCTCCAAAATGGGGGTGAACCTAGGCATTTTGGTAGACGCACGCGTTGGGTTGATCCGGTCTGAGGTTGGCAGGACCCACAACGCCATGACGGACCTGACTGGCTACCCATCCAACATCTTCATGTTCGACCCAGAGGCAGGTCTTAGTGCCACAGAAGGCCTGCTTTTCCAACCCCCTTTGGGCGAAACGAAAGACGGAGCTTTCCCCTTCCCCTTTTCGGCACTGGAAACCACCGGTCAACTACAACTGTTCAAGGGAAATCCATTGACCCTCCCCCCCCCCCCCCACCAAAAAAAGCAAGAAAAACATGTTCGAGCTTTTTGAGGGGTCGAACTTGATGTCCTTCAAACGGGTTTGAGGAAAGTCCAACTTGCCAGCTGCCTTGGCCTTAAGCGCCTTACACAAATACGAATGCGCCAGGCCTTGGAAAAGAAACCCTGGAGGTTGCCCACAGTCCCTTCTGGTTTCCCGAAAGCTTCCATCTTTGTCTTCTTTCTGAGTTGCTTTTCCTTTGTTGCTTTGTTGTTTGAGTTTCATTTGGTGTTGATTGGTTTTCTTGTCCTTGTTCCAGGGGTTGATATCCCATTCTTCAATCATCGTTCTTTTCAAACATGTGCCGTTTTTCCCTGCACTTCTGGAGGTTTTCTGGAAAGAAGGATCCCTGCAAAGCATGGGGAAGGTACCCCTGTTTGCTCCCTCCGGCTCCCAGCTCCGTAGGATCGCGAGAGCGTGCTGCTGGACGGCCACGTGAAGACGGAGTTCTGGAGCTGCGGTCAGCTGGGTGAGCAGCTCGCGGCCTGGGACGACAAACACTTTGCCATGAATCTCCAGACGGAAGGATCCAGTGAAATTAGTTCTGCTGTCCACATGGGGGCGGCGTCGAAAAATAGGGGACCACCCAAAATGGTGTCGGTGGTCCTTTTGGCTTTCCTTTAAAACCAGAAAAAAGGGGCTGCTGTCAAAACAGACACACGCTCATGTCTGGTCTTTGGGTGACCGAATCACACGAAAACGACCTGAGGAAGCAAATTCGGGTTTCCATTAAACCTACAAACGGTGGTCGACCTTTTGCTGAGTGGGCATGAGCAACCCAGCATTTGTCTAGCTTTCCAGAGGTAAGTTTTGTCTATAGTTTTTCCCAAAGAGTGAGGGTTGGTGTTTAAACATTGGTTTAAGGCAAGGTTGGTTGCACAAGTTCTAAGTAATCAGCCTTTGGTTGTGTTAAGAAACGACATGGGGTTGCTAAAAAAGGCAAGACCCGGAACATTCCACGGTTCTTCGCTAAAGTGTCTACCCTTTGTCCCGTTTGTAGGGATTCGTAACCCGCCAAAAATGGTCAACCCCGAAAAGGTTCCGTTTTTCTACAAGGCGGGCAACAAATGTCTTGACCATGGGCAAGGGGGACGGGGCTCAATTTTCGCATGTGGGTTTGGGTTTCTTGGAGGGTACCCTTTTTGGGATTGGCTGAAATGAAAGCTAACAGGAACCGACAAAATTTGGGCCTCCCCTATTTTGACCCATACTCTTGTCCTCTTGGGTGACGTTTGGTAACACATGTGGGTTCATGGTTTGCAAATCTGCGACTCCCCGAATGTTGGGCGCCTCGTTGGTCTTTCTGGAAATCACACCCAGAAGGGTATCCACAACAACGACTCCTGTGATCAGGAACTGTGGCGGAGAAGCATTGCTCAAGACTGAAGTTGGGAAGACGCGGGATGTGTCCCAATCCTTGCAGCACGCGGGTTACACAATTGGCTGTGGGTCAAAATTAAATAACCAGGGGACCGCAGATTTTAGTTCATATTTCCATGTACCAGGGTTGAATTTTGGGCACCCATTTTTGACCTGCAGCCAATTGATAGAGAACACGAAATAGATCACATTCGAGCTGAAGCGCTTTGGTCTTGGCGCGTTCACCCTCCAAGTCATGACCCGCAAACAGAGTTCCGTAAATAGATCTGAAAACCAGCTGCTTTGCCAGGTCCTGTAAATCAGCTTGCATTTGGGTGATTTTTCGAACTGGGCCAAATGTATCCGGGGGACCAGTGGTCGGCGCCTGTACTGTGGTCGGCGGTGGTCTCAGGAGCTGATCAGAGTTCCTTCGACCAGAAGAACTCCTCTACCTTTGGCCTGGAGGAGGACACGGGATCTGCAAGCGTTGCTTGCAAAACTGCCTGGGATTCCAATCGCGCCGTTTTTTGTTTTTCCCGCAATGGGTGCTATACAATAAATATAAGATGTAAGCACCGTGGTTGAACTGATGAGGGTCATCATCTAAATTGGGTCAGCCATGTTTTGTTTGTTTAATGGGGGTTGAAGGATAGGCATATGTTGAAACAACCCATTTTACGGGTTCCCCGATTTTGAGACACCCAGGTTGTTTGAAGAATCCTCGGGATGCTTGATTCAAGCAGCGTTTGGTCCCCATGAAAGGCGTACTGTTAACATATGTTTATCCCACCGTACTTTTTTAGGGAAACCACAAGAACTGTTCAAGTGTTGGGAGATGGTGAAAGAACAGGGGTCTAAACTTGGCTCCCAAAGCATGGGCCATCCCTTTAGCTTTTGAGCCTTTTAGTGTTTTGTGGGGATTTGCATTGAACCCACCAAAAGTGAGTCACTCTTACGGGGGATCAGTTTGGACAGCCCAGCAAACCATGCAATCAATAGGCCGAACCGCCCACCTTTGAGGAGTACAAGAAGATCGGCCTTTTTCCAGGGCACGCATACACGCTCTACGGAGTGCAGAAGGTGAATGGCACGTTGTTACATTGCCAAACTGGTAGTGTACCTGGACTCTCAAACTACCCCTACAAATGGAGAGGTACCACTTATTTATTTTGTGGCAATATCCAATTTTTGAGGGTAGTTTGAGGGTCCAGCTACCTTTTGCAGCACTTTTGCAACTGTTCTTGCTTGTTGCTTTCCTTCATCTTCCCGTTTTAAGCAGAAGTTTTTTTCTGCCAATTCTATGGCAAGCTTACAAGGAGAAACCGAGCACACCATGATGATGTTAATTTAATTGGGGATCCCTTGTTGATGATTTTGGTATCTGTCTGAAGGTTATGCCAAATCCGAAACCCGTGGGGCTCTGGTGCAGAGTGGACTGGCGACTGGAGTGACCGCAGCAAGCTGTGGGAGTCGGTGGACGAGGAGAAGAGAATTGCGCTGCTGGGTAGGAAGCCCGACAACACCGACGGCATGTTTTGGATGTCCCTGCAGGATGTGCCTTGGACTTCGGTTTGGGAAATCCACGCAGGATGTGAGATTTGTCATGGGTATCAAAGGGCGTGTTGATTCTCATGAGATTCACTGATTTGTTGTGGTTATGAGCTGGGCTCCCATGGGATCTCCGGCTCTGGTTTGCCCGTGACGACCGGGGGGGGGTTGGCATCGACATGGGCAGAGCCGGGCTCAATTTTCCCAAGCCCTCTTGAACAGCTAAAAAAAATGCCTGCAACTCCTTCACAAGGAATTTAGACAACCATGAAACGGATGTTTGGTGAGGGAAGCATGACTATGGCCCACATGAGGAGTTTTGATTACATGTTGCAAGTCGCAAGCTGCAAACCCTTGTTTCTTCCTTCATCCTTGAAGTCTTTGGAATATGGGTATTTTGCACAACGCGGGGCGCCCGCAAATGGTTGGTTTCTTTTGGTTTGACACCAACCAAAACAGGATCTCCAAACCTTCCCCTACCCAGTCGTTTGGGCCAATGCACTCGCAGGTTGCGGTATGAAATCTGCAGATCGTGGGGAGCTCACCGCAAACCCATTAAAGGCTCTTTAGTTTCAGACTCCTCAGTTCAGGTTTGTGAATTAGGACTTAATGTCAATCCCGGACTAACGAACCCGGCAAATTAATAGGGGGTATCGCGTTTCCTCAAGTAGTGACAACTTTCATGTCACATGGGAGGGTTGATTCATCCTGGGCTCACAGTAGTCCAGCTCAGATACTGCCCAGCGTGTGCAGAAAGGAAGGTGTCGAATGCTTCAAGGAAGTCAGAGCCGATGTGTCAGAGTCCCAATGCATGTTGAGGGTCCTGAACAAAGAGCAGCTGAATGTTATAGGCTCTGGAGTGATTCCAAGCGGGTGCAGGCATTTTCGGGTTCCGGAAGGGTTCCGGGCAGGTTTGCAAGCGTTGATGGACCCGGGTGAACAAAATATGTCTGTCTTTTTAGAGTTGGTACCCTGTTTAGTTTTTCCCCAACAGCTGATGGGGTCTCAGCCCAGATAGGCTCCGGGGTGGTTCGGGGCGACTTTGAGGTAAGGTTCCACGAGGGTTCCACCAGGGTTCCACCAGGGTTCTGCGAGGTTCTGCGAGGGTTGCGGGGTGGTGCCAGCACTAAAGAGAGTATTGCGTGCTGTTGGGGATATCATTTTTAGCGGAAGCCAAAGGGAAACCAACAATTCCTCGGGGTCCAAAATCGTGAGCCATCAGAACAAACAAGCAAAGCATGATGAGTTCCAATGGGTGCTACATATCCCTTTTGTTTCAATTCACCCTGCGGGACACGGAAAAAGATGTTGTTCAATCCTTGGCCTCCTATGTTTATACCCTCAGGCTTGTCAAACATGGCCAACACCCGAGTGAAATGATGGAGCCCGCCCAAAACAAGGACCAGAAGTCTGGCGTTGCCAAGGGTGCACTTGGCGGGCTACATAGCGTGCATTGCTATGGAGTGACACTTGTTGCTACACAGGCGGAAAACGTGCTTGGGCTCAAGCGGAGTTGCTTCCCCACACCATCGCATCTGGCAGGGGGACCCCGGGTACCCTCCCAGCGGTGCCTTCTGTAGCTGGAACTGGAAGGGTGGCAGGGTTCCGAAAGGTTCCTTGGGTGCGATGCTACAATCTTAAGGCACCCTACCAAAAGGGGTGGACCCCAAAGGCCTTGTCAATGAAGAAGGCACTTTCCCCCGGATGCCCGCAATATTGGAAGGGAGCAGGGCACCCCTGAAAAAAAGACCGAATGTTTTGTAGTTGGTGTGCTTGCATCTTGGTCCTCCGTACCAAGATGTTCTCCCAATTTCCCAGTTTAGATGATGACACTCCTCTCATACACGGGTTCGAAAAAACGTCTTCGTTGATTCCATGGTTTTCCTCGGGACACTCATCTGGTGTTTGTACGTCTTTGTTCATTCCGCGGTTTTCATGGGGGGGTTCGAACCCTGGAAAAGCGGTCGTCAGGTCTCGAAGCACTTCAAGGGCGGCAGCGTCACCTTCATCGGAGACAGCGACGACCTGCGCTTCATCGGCACCGCCAAGGGCCAGGCCACCTTCGCCGTGCGCTTCAAGCAGCTCGGCCAAGAAAACGCGGAAGGCGAAAGGACGCGACGGCCTCAAGCAGCTTCGCCCACATGTCATGACTTTGTGTTTATGATTATACATATCTTCGTGCATTCTGCCAAGGGAGGTTAGGACTTTAACTTTTGCCAGCTAATGGGCTTTCCATTAAACCACTAAAGGTTAAGCTTTTAGCAGGGGAGCAGAAAGCAACCGAGATATGTTTTATGTTGTCTTAGTTAGGACATGTGTTTTATTGTTTGTCATTCATGCATTTCTTGAGAAATGTGTGTGCGCTGGACTTATTACTTAATGGGTCAATTGGTTAACTGCATGAATTACTAATTAGTGTTCTATTTAATTAACTAAGTCAGTAGTTGATGAAACAACTAGTTCATTAGATCACTTATGTCAATTAATGAAGGGACTCATTACTTTATTAGATGATCTAGTCATTTACGTGTAGTAGAGTTGTTTCTTTTTCACAAGAACAAAGAACAATACATATATATAGATATGTGCACATTTATCTATGGTGTTGTATTATTTACGAATGTCATTGTTATGTGTTTAGTTTGTCTATTGTCTTATTTAGTTTGACTTGGTTTGTCCGTGTGATTGTTGTGTATATTGTGAGTATCATTGTCATTATATGGTTATTGGAGACAGTAACATAGAGCTGGCGAAGCCGGTCGGAAGCTTCTAGACGATACAAACCATAGTCATTGGTTTCTTTCGTTCCCCATGTCTGTCCTTTTTTGTTCTCATTCTGTCTTTTCTGTCCATCTTGATTTATTCATGTATGTTTCTTCTTTCAGTCCTTGTTTTCTTCTTCAATTGTGTGTCTTATTTCCTTTGTGTTTATTTCTTCGTTTTATTTTTTCCTTATTCGGTTCTTTCTTTATTTCTTGCTCTGTTTCTGTGTTCTGTATTATTTTGGTTTGTTCCGTCTTCCTTTCCTTCTTTCTTTCTTTCTTCCTTCCTGTCTTTCTTTCTTTCTTTCCTTCGACTTACATATCGATATCTATTTCTATAGATCTATCTATGACTGTCTCGCTAGTGATTTATTTATCTATCAATCTATCTATCTGTCTAATCTATATATCTATCTATCTAATCTAGACTAATCTAATCTAATCTGATCTAATCTAATCCTATCTATCTATCTATCTAGCTAGCTATCTATCTATCTATCTATCTATCTATCTATCTAATCTGATCTGATCTGATCTGATCTGATCTAATCTGTCTATCTATCTATCTATCTATCTATCTATCTATCTATCTATCTATCTATCTATCTATCTATGTATTTGTCTAAACTGTCTATCTTACATCCCTATCCTATCTATTCATATATCCACCTATCATTATCAAGACCACTATTATAATGCGTATGCATATATATATATATACATATGTATATACTAATCGGTTTGGGTGTACATTTTTTATGTGTTTTAGACATGATATGTTGTTTCAAAGGACAGCCCATGTGAAAACACTTGTTTAAGAAAAAAAGGGAGGGAGACCAAAAGGTTTGGTTTGATTCGCTTGGTATGTGTTGCTCTGTCTGGTAGCAGGGGATCGGGAGTTCTTATTGTTTCCTTGACCCCCTATTAAACACCTAGCGATGGTTTGTCTGAGTTTTGAAGGGACACCATACAGGAACCACACATATTTGGGACGCCCTTTCGGTTATTTGTTTGTTTGCTTGCTTGTTTGCTTGTTCGTTTGTTTGTCAAGAAAACCCCACAGGAAGCCCACAAGGTTAGATGGGGCTCCCGTATTTTTGGAGTCGTGACATGTTGCAATTGAGCCAGTGGGGCGCTCTGGTCAAGGTTAGCCACTCCGGTCAGGCAAGTGGGTCACACCAGATAAGTGGAACAGGGGTTGGTTGACTTGGTTACCTAGTGCTTCCTTGCGTTTTGCCACAGGTAACCCTTCCGGCATTACCAGGTACCATGGATGGTCTTCACTTAATAGTGTCGAGACGCCAAGCAATGGGAACGAGCCATGGGTACATCCAAGGAACACCACCCCGGGGAACCGAGTGTCCTTCATGGCTTCACAGCCGGATGTCCGGAACCATGGCGGGAGCTATGCTGCGCTGCAGGCGGGAGAACTTGATGTCTCCTCACTGCCTTTGAGCGTACGTGTCCTTTTAGTTTCTTGCTTTGGGGGGTTCTGTTCATTTTCAGTGGGGGGGTTGTTGTGTCTGTAGTCTTTACCCTTCACTCTTGTTGGCATGTGTTTAAGTTTACCCTCCTGTCCACGCTGCCATGAAACCAACCAGAGGGTCCCTTTTAAAGGAGCATAGCCTTCCAGGCCCCCCCAGTCTGGTTTCGTGTTAGTGGATGGGAGGGTGGTAGGTTCAAGAAATGGGGCCTGGAAAGTGATGCCCAAATGATACAGATAAAAAGACGAGGATATTTTATGACTAGTCACTGCAGGAGATGCCAAGTGAGTGAACCAATGACAATGAAATATAAAGATATTCAATCGTCCATTTGTTCTCATACCCTTTTGTTCCTATCGTACAATTGGGCCGTCTTTGAGAGCGAGGCTTAGGCTCAGAGTCATCCCTTAATTCATCTCTGTTTACGCGTCAGGAAAGGGCTGACCAGGAGTACGAAGTAAACAATAATAATGTGATTCTAGACTAATGGGCAAGTCACTTGTTTGCTTTCAGCGGGGGGGGGGTCGCAAAAACAAGTTGTTTGCTACCATACCAGGGTTTGGGAGGTCTCACTATTTGATCACCACTGCCATATACAATTTCATTGTTGAAGATCTGTAGGGAGCATGCTCTACAATGATCACTCGGAGGGAAATCTTTCCCGGTCCTGCGCAAGAGCTCTTCAAAGGATCAGGACCGGCGCAAAACATATTATTGGGAAGATGTTTACAAGATCTCTGCGTGAGATCTCTTGATAGGATCTCTTGGCAAGCTCTGTATGCAGCACCTCTGGATAGGATCTCTTCATAGAATGTCTTGGCAAATTTGTGCACAGGATCCATGTGTGGATCCTCTATTGAAGTTCTCTGTCAGGTCCTGTACTGCGAAAGCGCAGAGGGTTCACTTTCGATGTCCCAAGTTCGCACCGCGCGGCCAGAGCGATCCAGCCCCACAGAGGTTCACTTGCGACGTTATGTCCACCGCGAACTTTTGATGTTCAAGATTCGCACCTTAGGAGCAGCAAAGCTTCGGTTCAGCTGAATACCTTGACATGTCTGTATTTTATTTTACTACACTTAGACAAGGTGAGAACTCTAGCTAGACTGTCTGTATTGCCAAAATGGGCCGACTGAAGTTCTTCTAGAGTCAGAAATCAGCCCCGGCGTAACAACAAGTCTCCTTTGTTGCACGCGCTCAGGCTTTCAGTTTGGATTGTCTTCCAAAGTGCAAAGAACTACGCACAGTGCCCGAGCCGTGTGCAAGCACCACTTGGGTGGCGGGTTTTTGTTTCCGGTCAAGCAAACAAGTCTAGAGGTGGAAACATCAAACCAAAGGTAGCACCACACTGCAAACGCGGAAGTTCGCGGAAGGCTTGCGGAAGGTTTTTGTCCCCGCGGATGCTCGGGGAAGGGATGGGGTTGGTTTGCTCTTTCCCCACTTATATTTGCCCTTACTAGGATTTCTAGCAGATATTGTGCGCACAAATTCCCTCGCAGAAGCTACTTTCCTCAATTCCCAGAAACGACTTTCCCTCGGAAGCTCTGATATAGAAACATGCTCGCGGAAAGTACCCTTCACACCGCAGAAGCTTTGCGGAAGGTTTCGCGGAACGGGCCCACACGTGCACACACGTCCAACTGCAGGGACTAAAGACCACCGCTCAATTGGAATCGTCTAGTCACTGTGGTTTCCTGCAGCAAAAAAGTATCGATGCATGTCTATGAGTTGCTTGCTCAAAATCATCATGTGCGAGCTTCTGTTTGCAGAATTTCGCCAGTGCATTTTGCTTTGCCCCGGCTGACACACATTCTTTCACAGACGAGCAGCATGGCAGAGTTTCGCCCTTTGCCCGCCAAGCCGCTCTGTGCTGGCACCGCCCTGGCTTCGCGTCGATAGCGTGACAGTTGGTTCTTTTTGGGGAGTTGGTCGGTTGGTTACGCCCCCGCGTTTCCTTTTGTTCTGCTGTTTGTCTCCCCTTTTAGTCTGAGAGCAGCAAGCGCAGTGCTCCTAAGGCCTAGCCGCCGTTCAAAAACAGACACAAGCTTTACTTGATTGATTTCAGCAGCGCCCACAAGCCCTTTTGACGATTTGCCCTTTGACTTTGTAAACATTCACCATGCTGGAACCAAACGTCTCGGGTTTGATCTCTGGCGTGGCGCCTTCAACACGCGCAGGTGAGACTGATGGTCAAGGCCGACGGAGGCGTGGTGATTTCTTGGTAGCGGTGATTTTGAGACCCTTTATCAGTCGGACATTTGGTTTAGATATGTTTGAACGCCAGCTTGGCCCCTGCCACTGTCGTGTACCCCTGAGGTAGGGTTGTACAGCAAATCACTTGCAATCCAATACCCGTTGCCTTGATCTTCCACGACTTCAAACAAAAGTAGGTCTTTGGTCGAGTCTTAAGTTTGAGACCAAGACTAGAAGGACCGGGGTTTTCAGGGTTCTTGGGAGACCACGTGCACAACCACCAGAGCTACAGAAACCACGAAGGGGCCTCCTTGGGGCCACCACGTCACCACATCCTGGTTCGGGCAAACACAGGTTCCCCAAATTTCCCACAAGCACCAGGGGGCCAACCCGCAGCCACACCCTTGAGCCTCAAAGTCACCCTCTGAAGGGTTGTGCAATGGGAGACTGCCGGGTTCCAAGAATTTCGAGAACTCAGAGCAGACACATTTCATGGTGTTTTGATGTTAACGGTGGTGTAAGTCATGGGTTTTAGGGGGGGTTGCCCAAATCTGCTTGGTTGCCTTTGACTGACCCTGGGGTTGACCCCTGGTACTTCCCCGCACCACCGGGGGAGGGCGCACCTGGCTCCAATGTAAACCTCATTTGTTGAGGTGCTTGGGGGATTTCAACCATACAATCTCATCGGGGTTGAACATGAGCCAATATTTGCTGATTTAGATAGAGCCACAGCATGTGGCGTGGACAATCATGCCCCTTGGTACTTCATGGCCACAACACAACTTCTATCATTCACTCTTGGGTTGCAATGGCCCCCCCTGGCTCTAAATCAGTACGGTATACTCACTTCCGGAGTTCCTGGACTTTGGTCACTTTTTGCGTTTGGACCATCTTCGTGGTAAACAACCAGTTCCTGGCTGTTTTGCGGCCCATTCACCCAAGTCATACGCTGCGACTTGCGCCCCGTGGGATCCATGGCCTCAGGTTGGCGCCTGGCGAAATCGGAGGACCTCAGCGGGCAGCCGCCGGCCACGCGCTGGCGAATGGACCGCGACCTGGGCTTCTCCACAACCTTGGCCGAGAACACGGCGCGCCCCGCGCTTTTCCCCGCGCGTATTCGGGCGTGATCCACGGCCTGAAAAACCCCATGTATACATGAAAAAAGGTTGGGATAAGTACCTTCCTTGCCATAAATGGGTGCGGATATTTGCGCTTTTGAATCCTTGAAGCATGGCTTTGGGTAGACCATGTTCATACCGATCGGTCTTAGCTGAGTTTCTATTGAGGGGGAACACCCTAAGTCAACCCATCACAAAGCAAACTGCCCGTCTTTTCCCATGATGCGTTGGCCAAAGCCATTCGCAGAAAGAGAGAGGGTGGATGAAACTGGACAGAGGTTTGGTCATTTGTGTTGAACGTCTATGCATCATTTGGGAAAGTCATGGCAGGAACTCTCAAGTTTTCACCCGAACAAACAGGAGACTCATTCATTTCCCCATGTCTTGCGGGAACAAGTCATGTTTGACCATGCCTCATAGGCTGACTTTGACTTTTGACCAAGGTCACATATTTTCTGCAGCATGACACCCAAACCAAACCAACAGTTTGGGTCCCAAAACAAAAACAAGCGAACTTTTGTGTTCCACATAGATGGGCGAAACCGCCCTTTTGCCAGGAGTATTTGGTCACTTTGGTCACCGACGCGAAGGACAAAGACGTGGTGTTGGCGGTGCAGCCGAGCAAAGGCTCTGAGTACGCCGCCGAAGCCTTCTCCGTGCCAGCCGAGGCGGCCTTCCTGCAGAGGAGCTCAACCGGGGTGCCGGGGAAGATCTGTTTGAAGCCAAGGGGGGGGCGTCTGTTTTTTGGGGGGACCCACTAGAATGGTGGTGTTCCTTTTGGTGTCCTTGAAAACCACACAAAACAGGTACCCTCAAGAAAAAAGACAAACTCAATCGGGTGCCTGGACTCTAAAACTACCCATCAAAAGTGCATGCTCCCAACATATAGAATCGGGATAGTTTGAGGTTCCAGGTGTGTGTTTTTTTGAGGATACCTTTTTGGGGGAGGTCTCCCGGCTAAATGACCGGGACACCACGCGGTGTTGGGAAACCCTTACTTTGTCACAAGACGGCTCCCTCTTAAAGAGAAATCAACGCCAGGTGGATCAAAACGCTAAAAAGAGAGAGTGTAAACCAAGGCTTGGCCCAACCCTTTGTTCACATCACACACACACACACACCAAACCCGGTTTCCGTGCGCCCGCTTTCACGAGCTGAAAACGGGACAAATCCAAACGCTGGGCTGGACATGAACGGGAACGCTGGGCTTCAGGTACCCAACCCAATCCTCAAAATAGGAACCTGGACCCTCAAAGTACCCTTTTAAATGGGAGATCACTCAGAATTTTGGGGTGCAATATGGGTGCAATATGTTTTTTTAGGGTAAAAGGAGGGACCAGGGCCATGTCGCTGAACCACCTTGGAAGCAGAACGGGACCGTCCTTGGTCTTGACCAGGTCAAGCCTGGAATTGTTGACACGCAGCTATCCCTCAATGATTCAACCACGCAGGCAAATTGGAAAGCAGGTCACCATCGAAGGTCCGGTTTCGGGCTGGGCTTTTGCCGCTCCTCATCCTTTTTGGAGAACATGGGGTGGGCTTCCAACACATCATCAGACTCATAGAACTCCTACCATCCCCAAAAAAGCACACCATCCACTTTCAGTGATTTTCCGTCCTTTCCAGCCGGTGTGCTTTTTTCCCCTGAACCGTTTTGCTCGGAGGACCGTGGAGTCGGAGGCGGTCTTCGAGGTTGACACCTCCGCTAAAGTCCCCGAGGATTTGAAGCAGCAGATGTGGAGAGCGGCGCTTTGGATATGTCAGAAACCAAGTTTTAGTCTGTGTGGTCAAAGGGCCACGCACTCACATCCATTTGCTCAAGAGCATTTTGATTTTCGCTTGCTGGTTTTAAAGGGAACCTATCGCTACTGGATATATTTTCATTTTTTTCGGGCGGGCTTAAGCAAGTGGAAGCTCACCAAAGAGATATAAAAAGCTGGGGGAGGGGGGGGAAAGGCCATGAAGTGATTTCACCCTGGGATCGTGGAGCACCCTTTCAAGTCTGTGTAGCTGCAAGGACAGCAACCCCGACGTGTCACATAAAAAGAACCGCAAGGTCACTGGGTGTTGTGTTGGCCTCGGTCCCCTCGGTAAATAAGTATCAGATGGCACCAACTGTACCATTTTGGGGTAGGCTTTATGTTAGTGGGGATTGGGATGTTCACTGGGGGTACGGGCTTTTGACCCATGGCCAGATGTTAACAGCATTTGACCATGGCTCCCATAGCCATCGACAGGTTTGTGAAGCTGAACAAATGATGGGCAAGCAGTCATGGCCAGCAAGCAGTGTCGTGGAGGATTTTCATTGACCATGCTCCCTCCTTGTAAGTCATTGAGGCTTTTGCCCCCTTCGGAACTTCGACTCATGTTATTTGAAAATTATTTTCTCTTTGGCGCGTGTTTTTTTACACGTCATCGACTTGGGCGGTGTTCCACTCCAAGATTGCCTTCGGTTCCCCTTCGGTTTCCCTTTCAATACGCAACAAGGGTAGCCTCGTGGACTTGACGAATCGGTCAGCATCCAGTAGCCGTCATGTGGCTGTGGGTTGTGGAAACATGGACTAATCCTCGTGGGCTTAATGTTGACCCATACCCATGTGGCCACTATGTTGCTATGTCAACCATTCTCCCAACACATTTTGTGGGGCCTGGTAGTTGAGTTCATCTCGTCGATGAATGTTCACATGTTGAGGGCTTCTTAAAATTAGTTTTGGAGGTTCGGCACATTGGGAACTCCATAAATATCCGATGTCCAGCACGGTGGCCGTTCAACATACGTTTAGGGTTGGTTCCCTTCAAGCTCGCGTGGGTCAGGTCATGTCAAGTAGGTGACTCTTTTATGGCCCCGGCCTCGCCTCCCGCCCAGGTATGATCCAGCGCCACTGCGCCACTGCCACCGCCCAAGGCGAGAGCGCTTTGCGGCGAGCAAAACTCGCTGGGCCGCAAAGCAGACGGCTGAGATGCGCAGGTCAGAAAAGTGGCGGCATTTGTGGCTGTGGGTCGAAACCAATGGGATCCCATTTTGGGGTAGGTGAATTCACCACCCATTTTAGAACCTATTTTAGTGGGGATTGGGATGTTCACTGGGGGTACGGGCTTTTGACCCATGGCCATTTGACAAAGATCAGGCCTGGAAGGGCATAATTATGATGGTTTTTGTCAGCGGGTGTAGTTCAACCAGGGGGCAGATGTGCGTTTTTTACTCCACGCATTCATGAGATGCTGTTGACCAAGGTTACAATTAGCCTGAGCTGCCTCGAAGCTTTTGCTGACTGACAACCGGTCTTCATTCAATCATTTTTTGATTTGACAGAACCGCATGTGCCAGAACAGGTCCTTCATAGTTTATGCGTCATTGCCCCCTATGTTGCTCGCCGGTTTTTGTTTGCTAGACACAAAGCTGCTTAGAAGATCGTTTAGCTCAAGGGGCCATTTCCCCCATCAGTTTCTGTGGCAACGGAGCGTGATCTTCATGTAACCTTTGGATAGCGAGACACACTGCATCGTTAGTTGGGTCGTGTCCTTCGGTCAGTATCCTTTGCCGGAGGAAACTGTGTGCGTTCTATACCTCGCCTTGTTAGTGGTTGAGTTTTTTCTTGATTGCTTGCGGCACTTGTTTGTGTCAAAACAGGGGACCCGAAAATGGCGGCGTTCCGTTTGAACAGGGTACCTTGAACATGCACACAGTAGAGCCACAATCAACAATCAGGGAAGCGAAGGTTAGTAAGGGACCCAACCATCAATAGGTTAGTTTTTGGATGATCGGCCAAGTAAGTAACCACCTGAACCTGAGGTATTACCAGGGTTAATCTTCACTTGGGAATGTTGTAACCCATCTTCGCAACAACTTACCAACTTGGCCGAACACCCAAGTGGGTGTATCTGTTTGAATTTCTTGCTAACAAACGCAGCAGCGCAAGAACCGCCATTCCAAGCTCTTGGGACCCGTTCAAGCCATGGGTGGCCTGAAAAATGCACCACGGACCCGGCGCTGGGTCTCGGCCAGGCCGCGCAGCTCATCAAGAACGACACCAATCGTCGGGAGCCGAAACGAATCGAATCGAGTCCGTCGAAATGGGTTCGCTGTCACACCGGGTATGGATTTTTGGCTGCCCCCAATGAACTGGTGAATTCTCACAACCATGGGCCGCATTTTGTTCAGCTTGGGAAATATGGACGAATCTGTCCGATGCCCTTTGAGCGAGGCAGAACATCACAACCAAAACCAGTGCAGGGTTGCAGTGCATGCTTGCCGTTTGCAACTCCCGCCGAGCTTTCTTTGCCCTTCCGCCAGATGCTACGCAACGAGATATATACACAACACATACATTAAACATACAGATATACACAATATACACACGGATTCATACATACATGCATTGCACTGCGTTGCATTGCATTGCATGACACGACGTCACATTACATCATATTACTTTACATGACATCGCATCGCATCGCATCGCATACACATGGTCTGAGATGGGTAAGGGTATATGTCAGTATATATCAGTACTTGGGAACATGGTCGAGCCCTTAAACTTCGTGTGATTATCCACCACCATTGAAAACAAGGGAATCAATGGTTTGGTGAATGGCTACGGTTTTGAAGAGTTGGAACCACCAACGTGGTTAGTGGACACAAATCCCCAAATTCACTAATGTCCACCATTTCGGGCCCTAGGAAAGTCATAACCATATATCCACAGTTGTTTACCGGTGACTTTCATCATCTGAATTGGGTCCTTTGATCTGGGGCTCCGAGCGGCCCAGTCTCTGCGTGTTGCGACAGATGGGCCGCGGTCTGCAGTGTGAGTTTGGAGATTTTCAGTTCGCAACATCGTGGCTCCAACTAAAATGGAGAAACACTCCATGCTCAACTGCGCGCATCCGTCATGGGGCGCATTCGCAAGATCAATGGCGACTCACTTGCCTACTGGAAATAAGACTTTTGACAAAGTGTTTTGTTTCTTTGTCTATTTGGTGTTTGTGGTTCGTGGCAATGCTCACCTCTGGTTTCGGCTTGACAAGTCAGGTGAGGATGTGATGACTGAGGATGAGTTTGCCGCCTGGTGGCAAGGCCACCAAGGCGACTTCGAGGAGCTTAGGCGGCGTTTGGCCACGAAGCTGCAGGTGAAGAATTTCAGGCAGCTTGCGCTGGTCGACGATGAGATGCTTGCGGCAGGCCAGTGGATGGATGTAGAGCTGGTGGTTGTGATTCGGCCTTACTTGACAGACACAGATTCGAAGGTGCTGGTGCAGGCAGCAGGCAATGGGGACGTTGAGGGAGTTGCAAGCCTTTTGGAAAAGCCTTTGGACCCTGACACCGAAGGTCACGATGAAGACAATTGTATGGCGACACCCCTACAAACGGCTTCTGCCAAGGGCCACCTGGAACTCGTGCGCTGCTTGCTGGAAGCCAGTGCTGACGTGGACAAGGCCGACAATCATGCAAGGACTCCCCTGTTTTTTGCTGCCAAGGAGGGCTACCAGGAAGTTGTGCATTGCTTGCTGCAAGCCGGCGCTGACACGAACAAAGCCGACGAAGTTCAAAGGACTCCCCTACACCTTGCTGCTTTTTGCGTGCCTGGCCACCAGGAAATTGTGCATTGCTTGCTGCAAGCCGGTGCTGAAAAGGACAAGGCCGACAAGTATGGAAGGACTCCTTTGAGTGTAGCTGCCAAGCGTGGTCATCAGGAAATTGTGCGTTGCTTGCTGCAAGCTGGCGCTGACAGGGACAAGGCCGACAATCATGGAAGGACTCCCCTGAGTCTTGCAGCTGAGCGTGGCCAGCTGGAAGTTGCGCACTGCTTGCTGCAAGCCGGTGCGGACACGAACAAGGCCGACAATCATGGAAGAACTCCTCTGAGTTTTGTTGCTGAGCGTGGCCGGCAGGGAGTGGTGCACTGCTTGCTGCAAGCCCGCGCTGACATGGACAAGGCCAACAATGGTGGAAGAACTCCTCTGAGTTTTGCTGCTGAGCGGGGCCAGCAGGAAGTTGTGCATTGCTTGCTACAAGCACGCGCTGACACGAACAAGGCTGATAAGTATGAAAGGACTGCCCTGCACTTCGCTGCTTTTTGCGTGCCTGGCAACAAGGACATCGTGAATGGCTTGCTGCAAGCCGGTGCCGACAAGGACAAGGCCGACAATGGTGGAAAGACTCCCCTGAGTGTTGCTGGCGAGCGTGGCCAGCAGGAAGTTGTACATTGCTTGCTGCAAGCCGGTGCTGACCAGGACAAGGCGAGCGATTGGATGGCTTTTCCACGCCACAAGCACTGGCGAAGGGAGTAGGTATCTGCATTTTGAGCATTGTGGGCAATGAGGCCCTGCTAACCAACAAATGAACATTGGCCAAGGTGAAAAACAGGCCAGGTGTTTGCTCGACAAGTCGTTGGGACTAGTTTCAGGGTTGTTTAGCAGATCCGGCTTTTTTCGGCCATAGGGCCGTCCCTTCAATGCGTCAGTGCATGCCATTACCTCAAGTGGCTGGATTGCAACCGTAAACGGATTCGGGTTGTCACACATGTGAGTTTCAGCGGTGCAAAATGGCCCGAAATGGAAACTAAGGGAATTCAAGGGTAGGGGGGGAAATATTCCCAAGCACACGACATAGAGGCAGCAGGTCTTGTGATTCCTTTTGGTTTTCGGTAGTTGACTTGAGGCCTGCTTTTGGTTATCAGCCCCCCCACACGACCCAAACCCAGGAGAGTAAAGACAGGCACTGAAAAGCTGAGGCAAAAGCATTTGCTGGATGGAGAAAGCTTGTTTTCCTTAGCCTTTGCACGGCTGGGGAAAGCAGCAACACCGTCAGCTTCCTCAGTATGGCATTTGGAGCTCGTAAGCAGTTGACATTGACATACGTACTTGGAAGACGGTTGATCGAGGGCATCGGATTAGCACCGAACTCATCTTCTACTTAGCAACCCTTGCGCCAAACATGCAGAGATTGGGACGCTTCCACAGAAGACCCCATTGAACGCACTCTAAAAGGGCTTCAGCAGATGTTTGGACAAGGCTGTTGTGGATGGACCAAAATCCTGCGCCAGCTGGTGGCTTGTTCCAGTTTTTCTTGGGCTTCCTCCATCCTAAGTGGTGCATAGTTTTGTACATCCACAGAATGAAAGACCAATTTAGGATCAATATCGGACGTCACATATGCACACTTGCAGGAGTGACGGGATTCGTTCTATCTTCCGCACCTCCCTTTCAGAAAGTCAACACATGGATGGGTGTTCCTTTGCTAAAGTGCAGTCTATCAACCCTGCGCAAAGTGGGCAGCGTCTAAAGTGTCCACCCTTTGATAGGATTCGAATACTAGATGACTGGATGGGGTTCAAAAGGAGCAAACACACCACCCCATTTGTGGTGCTCCTCCAATTTAGAAAGCGCGTTCTGTGAAAGCCGACAATACGCAGTTGTTGGGCAGCCCAGTTTTGCGGGCCGATTTTTACACCGGGGAACCTCCAAAATGGGTGGCTTCGTTTAGAGAAATACACATTACATCCACAAAATACAAGCCTACAAAGATTCTCCCCACGCCAAAATAAAGAGCATGAGTTCATGGATTGAGACACCGAGCCACAAATGGAAATCATTTTAATCTAACGCGGTATTCCTGAACTATTGCTTGTTTGGTCTTTCTCCTGTGCTGTTTTTTTTTGTATGATTTCTCTTCGCTTTTCTTTTGATCGTGCCCCAGAACTCTGCTCGAACCGCATCACGCTTCACTAGGCTTCAACCTCATCACGTTTCATTTTATTGCCCTCTCATCAGAACCTGCATGGAACCTGACGGAGCGGTTCTGGAAGACTGTTTCCCTTAATACCCGTCTGGAGACTGGTGGTTTCCTGGCCTCGACAGGAGAGAGAGCCCAATATTTTTTGTTCTCAACGCCGAGCGGGTTTTCACCTCACCCACACACTTCTTCGCGGGCGGCTTGCGGCCGCCGAAAAGTTCAGGAGCTGGCCTCGCTGCTCCGGCCGAAGCCTGAGAATCTGCCTGAAGATGTGGGTCATGGGATGTCCTTTGGGGAAAACCACGAACAACATGTCATTTGGGTGTGGCTCAAAATTGAGGAGCTAGGGCTACGCAGGCTTTAGTCTTTGGCCAAGGTGCCATGTTGGTACATTTGCTTTAGCCACAGCCATTTCCCCACTAAATGGGAAAAGCCACGCTTGGTCATGTAGGGGCCAGGAATATTGATATTGATCAACCCCCATGTGTTTGGGATGAACATGTCAGGGTTCTCCTCCTTAAAGTTGCTTGGTCTTTTTGGTTAGGCCAAATCTGGACCATCTGACCAAATTTTGCTTGGAGTACCCCAGACGTGGGTCAAGAAACGAGCAACGAATGAACTTGGGCAATTGGTTCTTGGCTTGTTTGAAGGGGGCATGATAGTACTGGCATCTCCCCTGGCTAATCTAGGAAGAGATGCTTCCCAATGTGATTAGGCATCCTGGGGACTGTCTAAGCTTCATAGAAACTCAATACGGCGCTTGAGCTGTTCCGGGAGAAGTATCTCAGTTCGTAGGGTTCCGCCCACATTTTAGTTGGGTTCGGGACCTAAAGATGGAATTGCCCAGGGGCTCTCTATGTACCAGGGTCGCTAGGGGCCAATGCCAACGGGCTTGGAGTACGAAAGTGTGAAGGGAGTAAGACCTCCAAACCAAGCTGCAAGGGGGGGGGGGGGGGTCTTTTTCTCGGGGTGCCCCTGTCGTGTGGTTTTAAAGAGGAAACACAAGCAGCATCACCAGTAAGAATGACGCATGCAGCAATGACGGTGTGGTGTGATGCTTGTTCTTGACCTGCTGTTCTATCGAAGTCTAAGGAAAGGAGTGGGGCTATCCTTTGTCGCCTTCTTACGGCAATTTTTCTCAGGAATCTCTCCATTCATGAACTGAACATGTGACCAAAGGCCGCTTTTGTTTAGATAATGAAAATCGCAATGTTCAGTACGCACGGCATAGGTTTGTGGGCAACGGAATGAGTTCAATTTATTGGTGTTTGGGCTAACGGCCTCGACCTTTCAAGATGGGACAGTGACTGCTTTCAACCACTAAATAAGCCCGGCAAAACAAAAACAACAACACAATGATGTTGTGTAATATGGTGTTATATAATGTTGTATACATGCTACATATATATATATATAAATTACATGCATATACACATATATCATATCTGCTTTCCTTCTTCGCTTGGGACACCCAAAAAGGCGGGAATATCGTGTTTCTTCGGTTCCTTTGACACAACCCCCGAAAGGAGGACGTTTCTTCTCCCGGCACTAACTCGCATCAAGCGGTTGCCGCTTGTTTGGGTTCAGTTCCTGCCACGCCAAGCTTGACCGCACCAAGGCACGGGTACCTGCCATGGATCTTGGCGTTCTGGCGTCTTGGCAGAAACCAAGATGGCTTTCGGCATCTCACTCGCCAGGGTGCATTTGTGAGTGTGTTCACTACCTTTGGAGCCAGCCTTGTTGAGAAGGGTAGGATTGTCGGGCAACAGCCTTTGACACATTGTGTTTTGGAGGGCCAAAGCGATTCCAGCCCTTTGGAGGAGTTTTGGATACCCCCGTAGGAATATTTTGGCAGCAGCGAAGATTTGGGGAGGCGTATTAGCCACAAGAGGAATTGGCCCCAGTCTGCTTTGTTTGTCCAGTCCTGAAATCGCAGTGAAGAACACACCTTTAGTTGTGTTTCGACCTTTTGCACGGTGTTGTTTGTTGGTTCTTGGGCAACTTGAATTATTTACGGAGGGTGCCTGCAACATCATTGTTTTGTTAACAAGTGTTTGGGGAATCTTACGCTCTGCGAGTAACCAAAGCCTTGTGTTGCTGCACAAAACAGACCTGAGAAGGGAAGCATCCACTAAACCGTACGGCAGAAAACGGGCCGGCCACATGACACCTAGATTTGGAATTTCCTCGTCAGAGCATGGAACCTCAAACAGCCTTATTTGTACAGGAACTGCTCAGGGAATGGACCCATTCTGGGCTGGGTTGCTCAGAATCGATCCTGAAACCTTCTTCCTTATGCCAGCGGTGGTTTCCCTTTTGTACTGGCTTTCCTTACACGTTGGGCTCAGGGATTTTGCCTTAAAGGGATCTTGCAATGGCCATTTTGCCCAAGGTTTCAACAGATTCCCATGTCAATAATGGCCTTGGGACCTAATTCAGATGAAGCTCCTGGATGGCAAACAATGGTTCTTCTACATAACCTTCTTGTTTTAAGGGCTCCAAGTGATTTCATTGACTAGGGATGCAAAGGAATTTTGCAAGGACAAGAAGGAACTGGCTGGTAGCCAACTACTGGCGAAACGCCTGGATCCACTGGGGGCTAATATAGGGCCCTCCAAAGTGGTTGGTGGACATGGATCCCCACCGAAATGGTGTCCACCAAAGGTCCCTGATTAATTACAATTCAGACCCATGACCCAAACCGTTGTTTGACTGAGGGAATCTCAGGGCTCCAGTTCTCAGCCTGAGGTTTGCTGCGATGGTGGACTTCCAGTCGCATCGCTATGCGTTGGGCCTGTGCTGGCCTCAGCCTCTGGAACGCGAAGCCGAGGCCCGGACCTCCCGTGTTTTTTTTTGTTGGTTCCTTTTTTGCGGGGTGTGTGTTGTCCTTTAAAGTCGGCCAACACGACAGGGCGACCTTGTTCCTCGGAAGGCCCATTTCACGGCGAGCGATTCCCATTCGGGAGGGTCAAAGCGAGCGATTTACCCCCGAAGATTCGTTACTAGGGGTTCCATTGTTATCGAGCATCGCAACCCCACTTCCCAGCTCTCCTGGAGATTCTTTATCTCAGATTTGTGAATCTAACTCTGTCAGTCTGTGAGTTTCAGGACTTACTTTCTGGGATACCACATTTTAGTATAAATTGCGAACAGAAAGGGTTGAACTGGTTTGGCCAATCCACGAAAGTTAGTTGTAGTATTGTAGAAATTCAATCAAATTGGTTTCTGAAGAATGTAAGTTGTAGCCCCACTCAACGCCCAGGGTATACACCCGGAAAAAAAGCTGGCTCTTCAAAAACACGTGGGTTCTTGGAGTAGGGGGTAGTAATTTGCCCAGAAAGGTAGAACATCGTTTTTGAGAGCTGTCGATGTCAACTTCGACTGTTAGGTCCTGCAACTCCTGGCGAGAGCTGCTGATTCACACAGAAGGCACGGGAGGGTGGTTTGGTGGGCACCAGTGCTGGGTTCTTCTCCGAAACGAATTGAAAATTCAGGTTGGACTAAATATGAAACAAAAGCAACACGTGCTGGCTTTGGAGTCTCCCGAATGTGGGCCAAGAGTGGGCAATTCGCGACAGTGAGTTTCGTTGATTCCATCTTCCAAACGGATTCCCCCCTCCCTGTTTCTGGACTTGAAGCATTTTCAATCAGAACATGTTTGTGGTAAACAGGTCCGAACTTTGGACAAGATGCCTCTTCTTTCGGAAATCCGTGTCAAATGTGCTCTGGCTTCTTATAACGGGTTCAGCCTTTCCGAAAACTGCGGGGAGTTTGCCTGTGAGGCGAACTTCCCGAGCCGCAGATGGTTGGGTTCTCTGGATAAATCGGACCGGCATCTCAATATATGGGGAACTTGAAACAGGATCCTGTCGGCATCAGTTGCTTGAGTGGGAATTCGGGCCCACCAACCGGCGAGGGTGTTCATAGCCGTGTGATTTTTCTTGGGTCGAGGGGGAGTCATAATAGTAGCTATAGTGACCATTGGCCATGAAGGGCTACCCCATGGCGCAATCAATTGGATGACCCCAAGTGGTTTTGCATTATATACTTGCTTCAGTTTTGATGAATTGACAATCCCAGTGATTCCATGTACCTGTATAGCAGGTAACCAAGAGAACCCCCCTTTAAACCAAGCACAACATGGCTGGCCGCCTATGCTGGTGATAGGGAGCCGCGGGGAATATGATTGGTGTTCTGTTGATTTGGGAAGTGGGGACCAAACTCGCAAATCTCCAGAACGACCCGTTTTTCACGTGGCCATTGCGAGACTTCAGTATTTATTTTTTCAGGGGGGGGCATGAATCGCTGCAAGCTTGCAAACTGAACCCGTGACAAGCCGCATTCAAGAGGGACCCCCCGAAACCTCTAATTACCCCCAGGCGAAATTGGGTCACATGCCCATAATGCACTGTCTCTATGGATGTGTGTCGAAATAAGGAGACCTCCAAAATCATAGTTGTCCTTCTGGTTGCCCTCAAACCACCTGTCAAAGGGATACGCTGAACAAAACACACCCGCATGGCCCTTTCTGGTTGTTTTGGTGGTTTACATACTCCAACTTCTTTTGGGGGTAGTTGGATCCAAATATGTTGACTAGAGTGTGCCCAGACTGCCATAAATGCTAGGAGACCCTTATTTATTGGAGGTACCCAGACCTCCTTTCATCAGGTACCCTTAATAATTTGTGAGTCGGATTGGCTTGAGGGCTTGACCCGTTGCTTTTGAAGCCAAAAGAGGCAGGTACACATTCTACACTCGCTCACGGCTCGCAGGCCTAGAGCTGTCGACAGTACGGCTGCTGGATGACAACATGTGCAAGAGCCGGGGGCACAGTGCCTGGTGGCTGGGTTTGGCTCACCCGCCGGGTGTTAGAATCAGCTTTTTGGTTTGACTCGTTGCCTTTTTGGATATTGCCTTCATGTCCATTTCAATCAGCGTAAATGTGTGTTTGTGCAGGTCTAAGTTTGGCCCATCCAATGGTTGGCATTTGGTTAAACGGGTCATTAAGCCCACAAAAAGAATTTGGTGAAGGAGGTGCTGGTCCTCCGTATTGCTCTTCCCATCGGGATTGAGGCGAATGGGATTGGAATTCCAACCATTTGGAGCAGAATCTTGTCTGTGACTTTTGGAGGAACACTGGGTAGAAGTGATTAAATAATGAAAGAAATGCTAAACCAGAACCAGCCCAAACCAGGAATTAGGGGAATAAGATTCAAAGTCGCAAGCTGGACCATGATATTTTTGGTTCAATGGAATACCAAGCCAGCCTCCCGGGCCTGTGGGGAAGCTACCAGCTTCAGCTTTCAGCTGAGGGGAGAGGACCGCTTCCCTGCAAATTAACATGGAGCCTGCAAAGGGGTTCCTTGAAAAGGAGGTTCCTCTTAAAACGATTGGCTTTGGGGTTCCATGTTAGTAGTCCACTTTTGTTCATGCTTTTGGACTGTTGGCAACTGCAAGCACAGGCATTGAAAGAACAACGCGTTGGCTAAGTCTTAGCAAAAAGTCAAACCAACACCAGTTGGAAGCTAATGTTGGGCCCAGGATTTTCACTAAAGAGGGTCCAGCTGACTTGGTTCCACCTTTCGGGGGGGGGCTCCTTCGGTTGGCCTCGGCCAGTTGAAACCCAGCGCCCTCGAAGCTCGCGAGGTAGCGACCTGGATTGCATCTACGTGGCAGCCAACACCGTGGCCGGGAAGCCGAAAGCGGCGTCGGAGTGCATCCCCCAGCTCCGAAAATGGTGTTTTTTTTTTGGTTTCCCATCTCCCCACACAAGGGACAGCATGTGGGGGATTGTCAACCAATTTTATTTTCCGGCATCCCCTCTACAATGTCCTGGCCCGGAAATACCGAGCTTCAGCCCGCCCAAGGGCTTTTGAGCCCCTTTGTCCGGCTTTTAGCTCCTGAATGGCGGTGGCCAACTCCACAATAGAGATGTTCATCCCCTCAATCGGGGTTTCAGACAGCCTTACGAGGGAACCCCGCATTGGTCCAACACGAGCACGACATCTCGGATTTCGACGCAGCCGTTGTGGTGAGTGGCCAAAGGACGCTGGCGTGCGTGGCCCGAATTTAGTCCGGTCAACCCCTGGGCCCTCAAACGCTTGAACATGGGAAAGCACCCCTCAGACCAATGAAACTCCTGCACAGCCAGCCAAACAAACTGGCCTTTAGTGACGGAATGCAACATGTTTGATCTACTTACTTGCTGCCCTGCCATCCATGGTCCTGGATTCAACGGAAACCAGAGCCACTGAACCCGCACGAGCATGAGTCATGTCTCTCCGGCAGAGTGGGACGCTGGATTGCTCTCTTCAGACAAGTTTGCTTTCAACAGGTGGACTTTTTGATTCTGCCCCCACGAATCAAAGACAATAAATTTCCAGGAGGCCTGAGAGTGGCCGGTGAGGGTGGTGCCTGTGGTTGTTTTGGGGCACGACCCCTTTCAGGCTAGAACAGCAATAACGCCTGGTTTCCAAGTGTAAGGAGAAGGAGAAGAGGAAGACCATCTCTGTGCTTCCTGACAAGGCGGGGAAGCTGACGATGGGAGTGCCATTGGGCGGGTTTACCTTTCGAGGCTAAAATCAAGGGGCTCCCCCGGACTCAATCCCAGAAGTTCCTGGACGAACTGGGAAGACAATCTTAGTAGTAACGCTTTTTGTTGGCAACCCACTCATGAAGTGAGCTGAAAAGTGGAGAATCGCTGAAGGGGGGGGGGAGGGGGCTACTGTTTAGGTTCCCCAAAGTGTGGCGCGGACTCGGACTCGGCGCTTCGAGAAACAAGGCAACTGCAAGCAATCCGCTGCCCTTCTGCATGGGTGACTTCCGATACTCTATGACATCCAATTGATAGATCTTCTATGGGCTCCCATTACTTAGCAATTGTCGGTTTCGGGGGCTTGTCACACTCACAAGGGAACTTGCGTGGTTTCCCTTCAGCTTGCCACCGTCTGCGGGTAACTTTGGAAACGTTATAATACCGGGGCCATCAAGGTGCGTGTCTGCCTTTTTCCTTTTTCATCATGAGGAACTTCTAGATATTGCTTGGGTGACCGTACATGGGTTCAATCAAATGGGTTCTAGGAGCTACACACATGATTCTCTTTTCGATGCTAGCTGGAACCCGTTTATTGGAGCCCAAAAAAGTGTCCCCTAAATTGCATTTTCTGGGTCGCAGTGTTGGTCGCTTGCATATCGGATTAGAAGATAATAGCATTTGAGTTGGAATTTTGCACAAGGTTGCCCCGTGAAGTTCACGCCGTGAAGGCCATGCCATCCTTCAATGCCCGACGCCAGACCAAGAATATGTATGAACAACGGACAGATCTGGTTGCTTGTGGGTACGGATGGTCGATGCTGTGGGAGTCCAGACAACCATCAGGCTTCTGATTGGGGGTACCATGACGATGCTGGCCTGGGGGGAAACAACCAAAAGCAACACAGACACACACAGACAAAAAAGGAAAAACACGAAAGCTCGGCAGGAAAAAACCATACATTCCAGAAACAGGAAGCAAGAACGAAAGAAAGGCGTTCCGATCCCCACCAATAAGACAAACACAGAAGCAAAATCCAAGCAACCTCTCAAGACAAATACTTTGGTATCTTTTTTTTAAAAAAAATTGAGGTTACGTTTAACGAAGCAGTTCCCGAACTTTGTCTCCACGCGAATTGGTAAGTTCTTTGTTTCAAATGAGCATAAACATGCGAATTATTGTCGCACCAACACTTGCGGTGGAGCTGCGGAGGCAAGAAAGCGTTCAAGGACTGCTATTCACGATCAATCGATTGAGTTCCATGAATCTTGGGCAACTTAGAACTTCTGACATCATCTATGTGTCTACAGAATTCTTTCCGTTGGTAGCTCTCCTGATGAAAGTTCATCAGAATAAACGCCAAAAACACCACGTTTGCTGACACAATTCAACAAGCCACTGGTCTGTGCATCTTCCCAGGACTCAACTGGGCTAGGGTCAGCAGACATCCCTACCGAGCCGTGAAAAGAACCGCAGGGACCGAACGTAATCATCCCCCCCCCCCCCAACCCCTCCCACCCCGAGTTGGACACAGTTGCGCTGAGTCGATAGGGGGAAAAGTAGCACTTGAGAAGAAACATAGAAGCACAACAACCAAAACAGTGTTTGATACCAGGCGACCAGCGCAACCGTGACCAGCTAATGTGATAACCGTTTCTGCAACATGGGAATTTTTAGGCCTGCGCCATTCCGGGCTGGCTCCCCATTTTTATTGATCAAATTACAGGCTGGCTCCATAGGTGTTCTTTTTGGTTGCTTTGGTTGAAACATAGATGGCGATTCCTGGTTTACCTGGTGGTGTTTCATGATCTACCAGGGACACCCATCTATTTCCCCTAAAAGGACACCTGGGATTTTTTTCGGCCCCACCCCTACCCACCCCTACCCATCCACACCCACCCACACCCACCCCCACCCATTCCGGGCTGGCTCTCGGGATCCCCATTTTTGTGGGTCGCTCGATCCTTTGTCCAGGCGCTGGCGCGGTTCCAGTTCCTGGAGGCGGTGGTGCGCCTGGCCTTCAAGAGGCCCAGCCGACGCCAGCGAGCGAGCCGAAGCGCGCCGATGCTTCGGCGCGCTTCGGGGCGCTTCGGGGAGGGCGGGTGTGCCTCTCTTTTTTAAAATTTATTTAGGAAAACGGAAAACACACACACAAAAACAGAAGACAACCATCTAGTAGAATCGGAAGGTGGCTGGTTCCCTGCTGGAAACTGGGATACGCCGGGTTTCATTACTGTTTTCTGTGGATGGCCGGGCCACTTTGAAACCATGGGAAACCATGGGAAACCATGGGAAGCATTGGTAGGTACAGAATCATCATTCTAGGGTTTCTCAGGTGGTGCAAGATTTCGTCCAGTATGATAGTGGATTCAGTTTCCAGCGTACTACATAACCAGCTATTTTCCTGTTTCTACCAGATGGGGTTTGTGTTTTTGTTTTTGCTTGTTCGAGGATACTCCTTCTGGGGGTGTTTTACAAGGAAGCCAAACCCTACTTTCTGACAGAACCCTCAAGCTACCCAGAAAAGAATGGACATCAGAAGTCACCATCGGCAAGGTGCAATGTTGAGTCCTAGTTTGAGGGTGCAGGTTGTTTGTTGGACTTTGATGTGGTGTTTCTGACTTTTTTTGCGCTGGTGGCAAGGATGTTGTTTCCTTTTTTCTCTTGCTTTATTGTTGTTGATTACGGGGGAAACCAGTATGGTTCCTGTGTTGGTTGCTTGTTTCGTTATTTGTCGTGTTTATTATTTGTTGTGTGCGTTGCTTGCGGGTTCCTTCTTTTTGGTTGGGCGTGACAGCAGACCAACAGGGTTTCGGGCCCATTTTGGCAGTGCCCAAATTTACGACGCCCCAAGCAGTTCCTTAGACAGCAACCAACTCCACCACGCACCCTCTCCACCTTTAGGGATTCCAGAATGAAGTACACGTCTGGGCCGCCTTGGCGTCAGGTTTCTTCGAGCTGGACCCAACCACTCCAGTACAGAGGAGATGAAGAAGGCCATCGATGCATTGCAGGACGGCGAGTGATAGAAGTCGCCGTGCTTTTGGAGAGTTAATACCCTTTTGGGTTGGATTGGAGGGAAACCAAAGGGAAAACCACAACTTGTTCAATCTGCACGAGCTCACCGGTCCGGGGGTAAAAGGAGCGCAAGCCATGATGCAGACCCCTGTGTTATAGGATTATTTGTTCTTTCTTTTGGAAGTATTGTAACATTTACAGATGTAAATACCTGTGAGTAGTTGGTGCCCTTTTTTGAACTGTTTGTTGAGGCAACCACAAGGAAGCAACCCGCATGGCCCACTTGGCCGTGTGTGGATGTGTTCTTCTGGCGTTGGTACCCTAGTCTAAGAATGAAACCGAGAGACCACACATTTATGTCCTCTGTGCTAAACAAGGAACAACTACCCACCCACAGTCAAATTGCAAGTTTCTTGACTCACCCGCTAAAATTCAATCAAACTTTGTGTCCTAAAGCGGTGGTGCCGGGCAACACCGGTCGTGAGCACCCGGCAATCTTACCAGTCAGCAGTTGGGAATGGAACCGCCCAATACTCACTCCCCAAGTTCCTGGGCCTTATACTTGTGTGGCTACTCCCCAAGTAGAGAGGGTTGTAACCACGACAAAGAACCTGTTACAACGACAAAGGTCATTGTTACAACGACAAGTTTCAGTGAAGACTATCCCGACAAGGCTTCTACTACTATTACTACTACTATTACTATTACTACTATTACTATTACTGCTATTACTACTACTACTACTACTATTACTACTACTACTATTACTACTACTACTATTACTACTATTACTATTACTACTACTACTACTATTACTACTATTACTACTACTACTATTACTACTACTACTATTACTACTATTACTACTACTACTATTACTACTACTACTACTATTACTACTACTATACTATTACTACTACTATACTATTACTACTACTTATCACTATACTACTAATACTACTACTACTACTGATTATCATCACTATTTAACTACTACTACTACTATCACTACTACTACTACTACTACTACATTACTACTACTACTACTACTATCACTACTACTTACTACTACTACTACACTACTACTACTACTACTACTACTACTATACTACTACTACTACATTACTAATATACTACTACTACTACTACTACTATTACTGCTATTACTACTACTACTACTACTACTTATATACTACTACTACAACTACATTACTATTATACTACTACTACATCTATACTACTACTACTACTACTACTACTACTACTACTATCATACTACTACTACTATATTATCACTATACTAATACTACTATTACTATTATTATTACTACTACTATTACTACTATTTACTATTACTACTATTACTACTATTACTACTACTACTATTACTATTACTACTATTACTACTACTACTATTACTACTATTACTACTACTACTATACTACTATTACTACTACTACTATTACTACTATACTACTACTACTACTATTACTACTATTACTATTACTACTACTACTACTATTACTACTATTTCTACTACTACTACTATTACTACTACTACTATTACTACTACTACTATTACTACTACTACTATTACTACTATTACTACTACTACTACTACTATTACTACTACTACTACTACTACTATTACTACTATTATTATTATTACTACTACTACTATTACTACTACTACTATTATTACTATTACTACTACTACTATTATTACTACTACTACTATTACTACTACTACTATTACTACTACTATTACTATTACTACTATTACTACTACTACTATTACTACTACTACTATTACTACTATTACTACTTTTACTACTACTACTATTATTACTACTATTACTACTACTACTATTACTACTATTCACTACTACTACTATTACTACTACTACTATTACTACTATTACTACTACTACTATTATTACTACTACTACTATGACTATTACTATTATTACTACTACTATTACTATTACTACTATTACTACTACTACTATTACTACTACTACTATTACTACTATTACTACTACTACTATTACTACTACTACTATTACTACTATTACTACTACTACTATTGCTACTACTACTATTACTACTATTACTACTACTACTATTACTACTACTACTATTATTACTATTACTACTACTATTATTACTACTACTACTAGTTCTCTTCCGTTCTATTGACCTTCTCATTCATTCTTATTCCTTTCTAATCGCATTCTCATTCCTTCTTATTCCTTTCTATTGACCTTCTTATTCCTTCTTATTCCTTCCTATTTACCTTCTTATTCTTTCTTATTCCTTTCTATTGACTTTCTTATTCGTTCTCATTCCTTTCTAATCACCTTCTTATTCCTTCTTATTCCTTCTTATTGACCTTCTTATTCCTTCTTATTCTTTTCTATTCACATTCTTATTCATTCTTATTCCTTTGTATTGACATTCTTATTCCTTCTTATTCCTTTCTATTGACCTTCTTATTCCTTCTCTTATTCCTTCTTATTCTTTTCTATTCACATTCTTATTCATTCTTATTCCTTTCTATTGACCTTCTTATTCCTTCTTATTCCTTTCTACTGACCGTCCCTTCTTATTCCTTTCTATTGATCTTCTATTCCTTCTATCCTTTTCTAAATCACCTTCTTATTCCTTCATTCCTTCTTCTATTGATCTTCTTATTCCTTCTTATTCCTTTTTTCATTCACATTCTTATTCATTCTTGTTCTTTCTATTGATATTCTTCTTATTCCTTTTCATTCCTTTCTATCTATATCTTCTTTTATTCCTTCTTATTCCTTTCTATTGATCTTCTTAATTTCTTTTTGCTTTTGATCTTCTTACATCTTCTTATTCCTTCTTATCCCTTTCATTGACCTTCTTATTCCTTCATTCCTTTCTAAATCACCCTCTTTATTCAGGCCGGATTTACACGCTGACGCGACACAGCCGGCCACCGGGCACCTTGCCCTGCCTGTTCTGTCACTTCCCTTTCCTGTAAGTCCGATTAGTAGATGTTAAGATGTTAAAATTCTAAAAACTTTGAGATTCTAAGGGTCTCAGATGTGAAGACTTTCGGAATTTAAGGTTTCAATGGTTTAAGAATTAAGGGTTTAAGATTCAACGATTTAAGGTTTGGGAAGGTTATAACAGCCAGGCCATTGCCCAGCCATTTTCCATCCATTATCAGATTTCGAAGGCTTTAAGATTTTATTTTTTTGAGATTTTCAGATTTGGCGACTTTCGGAATTTAAGATTTTAAGATCTTAAGATGTCAATACTTCAAAATTTGAAGATTAAGAGGTTAAGGAATTTAGAATATTGCCCGGATTGAAGGAATTTTATTATATTTTATTTGTTTATGAATTTAAGATTTTCAGATTGCAATAGTTCGAGATTTAAAGAATTTAAGTTTTTGAAGCTTTTAAGATTCTGAGATTTTAAGATTTTGAGAATTTAGGAGTTTCATATTTTAAGATTTTAACATCTGAAGATTCAAAGACATGAGGGTTTCTGTCACTTCCCTGTCCTGTAAGTCCGATGAGTAGATGTTAAGATTTCAACATTCTAAAACTTTGAGATTCTAAGGGTCTCAGATTTGAAGACTTTCGGAATTTAAGGATTCAATGGTTGAAGAATTAAGGTTTTAAGATTCGAAGATTTAAGGCTTTTGAAGGTTATAACAGCCAGGCCATTGCCCAGCCATTTACCATCCATTATCAGATTTCGAAGGCTTTAAGATTCTATTTTTTGTTAGATTTTCAGATTTGGCGACTTTCGGAATTTAAGATTTTAAGATCTTAAGATGTCAAGACTTCAGTTTAAGGAATTTAGAATAATATAGCCCGTATTGAAGGAATTTTATTATATTTTACTTGTTTATGAATTTAAGATTTTTCAGACTGCAATAGTTCGAGATTTAAAGAATTTAAGTTTTTGAAGCTTTTAAGATTCTGAGATTTTCAGACTTTGAGAATTTAGGAATTTCATATTTTAAGATTTTAACATCTGAAGATTCAAAGACATGAGGGTTTCTGTCACTTCCCTTTCCTGTAAGTCCGATGAGTAGATGTTAAGATTTTAAAATTCTAAAAACTTTGAGATTCTTAGGGTCTCAGATTTGAAGACTTTCGGAATTTAAGGTTTCAATGGTTTAAGAATTAAGGTTCTAAGATTTCATATTTTAAGAGTTTAAGATCTCAAGATTCTAAGACATAAGGTTTTTAAGGTTTCAAGATTCGAAGACTTTAGGAGTTTTTTTTTTATATTTTCAGATTTTAAGATGCTAAGTTCTAAGATTTTAAGATCTTGAGATTCTAAGATTGATTGTTAGATTTTAATTTAAGATTTTAAGAATCTAAGACTTTAGGATTTTGAGATTTCAATCCAGGCCATTTTCCATCCATTTCCATCCACCTCAGATTTTAAGATTTTCAGGTTGCACGTTTTCGGCAAAATTGGCCCGACTTAGGGGACAACATCCCCAGCATCCCCCGCATCGCCGGCATGCATAACATCATCCGCATCATCCGGGATGATGCTGGCAATGCTGGGGGTGTTGTCCAGTATTAGGCACCCCCTAAAAATGCTCGTTTTTGGGCGCTGCGGGGAGATGCTACAAAAATCGCCTAAACCAATCCGCGAATCCTTCGCCCCTTATAAGGAAGGCCCAGCCCAAAACGTATGCGCATGGTCCGCGCATGGTCGGCGGCATGGGGCGCGCGGCCTTATACCTGAAGGTAAGCCCTAACGGGCTTTGGCCTGCGGCCCGATCACGTCCGGTGGCCGGATTAAGCAGGCTGACGCCTGATGCCGCCGACCCCCAATGTGCTTTTATTGTTGATGTTGTGTTAAATGTTGTTTTAAGAATTCGAGGTACGAGGTAAACATTATGATGATGATTATTATTATTATTAATTGGCCAGATTCGCAAAAAGAGAAGAAAGAAGAAGACAGAAGTAACTCTAAGGTGTAATAGAAGATG